GCAGAAACAGAACATAATTACTTTATCTTTTTTTACGGTTTCACCTAAATACTAACGAGAAAAAAACGCAAAGAAAAACATGGCTTGCCGCCTAAAAACACGGAAAAACTTGAAGTGTAATTGTAGTAACGAGTAACGTAACTACGTTACTTGAAATAGTAACGTAAGTACGTTACCCGGTACTGTGTCGAAAAGTGACGAGTAGGTTACTATGTTACTGAAAAAAGTATCACCTTCCTGGTAACGCCGTTACTTGTAACATGTTACTGCCAAGACTGCAGAACGGACAGAGCGTTACTGCTTGTCATGCCTTGTTGTCATGAGAGTAGGAAAAATAGCATACCTTGACTTGAAAACGCTGTGTGTATTTATTTCATTTATAAATACACTTCCGCAGACCCGCAGTCTGCCGATCTCGGCGGCACTGCGGAAACCGACTCGAAGTAATCGTAGGCCTCGAGAGACCTGTACGCCTGCTCAGTGTCGGCCGTAAACTGACTTGGCGAAAAAACTAAATAAACGACGACGTGAGCCGCCGACTTCGGTGGCAGCAACTTCACGTCGGAAGTCCAGCAGGTCTTGTTTATACGGCCGTACGGATCCTCGTAGGCAACGCCGTCCACGCACTGTTTGTTTCGATACCGCCGCCTTTCAGGCTCGGGTAGCGAGCTCAAATAGTCGGGCATAGCATACGACATGCGTAGCCAGGAAATACGACTCACAAATAAAGCTAGAAGCGTCCCTACAACGTCGACAACGAGCGCACGCCACACAACACAATGGCGAAAACACGGAAGGCAAGGTCGCTTTTGCCCACATAGCTACAGCGCATGCGCGGCCTTCTGGCCTTGTTGGTAAACAGAGCCGCTCCGCGTGTCGGTTTATAATGGGCTCGGGAGACAAGCTGCCGACATTAATTTTCGGCGTGACGAATGCAGCTTTTTTGGCGATTCAGATATATTCAACAATACAAACGCGCACTTTTGCGGCCAGTTCGGGGCTCTCAACAAGCTTTATGGGGCAAACTCAGAAAAAAGTCGTAGTACTTACTAATTAAACGTTACTAACTGTTTGTCACGACATTCACTAAGTTCTTGGTAACTCCAGTTAGTAATGGTCAAGTTAGTTATGGGCACAACTCAAGAAGCTAGTAAAAGTTACTAACGAACCTAGTATATTTCACTACATTTAACTAGTAGCAGTTACTAACCAACCTAGAATATTTCGATACCTTTAGCTAGTAACCTACACATTAAGAAAAAATGAAGTAGTACTTTCTCCCCAATTCCAGAAATCTCCAATATGTTACTCCACAAAAGAACTCAATTTCTCCAAACCTCGTACGCTAATGACGTCAGTGTTCGCGTGTAGCGCTTCGACACTTGGGCCCACGTAGTGGGATTGATGTAGCCTCCACCATATGGCGCTCAAACCGTCAAAATGAAGTCTCAGTATTAAAACTTGGGTTTGGGGAGTCGGTTCATACAGAATGAAAGGTTAAAACCGCGAACAAAACGGGGACCGGGAAAATACAAGCAGGCGCCTGTCCTCTCGCGTATCTTCCTCGTCCCCGTTTTTCCCGCGCCTTTTAACTTTTTATTCAAAAACCTCAGAACTGGGCCGTTTGTATTTGTTTCGTCATTCGAGTTCTAAATTCAGAGACATGTGGGAATACACGGTGCAACGCACTGACATATACGAATAGAAGAACACACAGAAAACAGCAACGCAACAGCCAAACCAGAGACGCACACTCTACGAATGCCAAGTTTTCCCGATCGCTATAGACGTTTTCTGTTACCTGTCGTTTAAGTCACGTGTCTGGGATGGTGGACGAAAAATTAATAAAACATTTTAGCTCGGGATATGCGAGGAAATAAAAGTGAGGCAAAAAGAATGCGTAAAACCACGCATTTTTTTGTAAACGCCTTCCAGCGGCGTGGAGAGATCAAAACGATCTTTTAACGCATACCAGAAGCGACGGCATTCAAGATGGCTGCGCCTTTGTGGAAAAGGTGCATATACAGCTGTTTGACTAGGGCGCCGCTATCTTGAACGTCGTCACTTACGGTATGGGCGAAAACATATTGTTCTGCCGTTTCCGCGCCAATAAAAGGCATTTAGGATAAAAGCGTAACCGCCGCCATTCTCGTATTTACCTCACCAGCATTTTTTTAGTATGTGCAGATTGAGATGTTTTATGCTTTTTCGTCGCCCATACCGGATATATCTACCAGGTGGCTGGGGAGGAGAGTAGTCAGAAACGGTGTATATGGCAGGGGTTTTATTTTTTAATTCGATGTGGCCGGTTACTTCCACATATGTCGCATAAGCACGTAGAGGCTGACCAAATATCACTCTCCGTGCCTTCGGAAAAGCAACAGTAGAATAATTTAGTAAAATCTATGAGTTAATTTTTATAGACCGATCTCACTAAGCTTTCGGCGCATGCGTGACGCCGCCATAACTTTAGTTTAGAGCAGGCAGACGGCCGTGCATGCGAGGGCTCGTGCCGTTTCGTGCTCCACACGCGCAGAGCTCCAGGGAAGTTGTCGCACGCGCAGAAAGACTAAAGTGCCCTCGATGCATTGCGGCAGCGGTGGCGTAGTCAAACTGCCCGGTGAGATCGGTCTATTGCGCATTTTATGAATCATGTTAGAAAAGTAGTATCGGCGGTGATTCCTCTTGGAGGCTAAGCCAAGTATTCGATTTTAGTTAATTATTAAATTACCGCGACGATTATACTCCCATCTTTTGGAAATTTCATATCAGGGCTGTAATGCTGACTCAGCTACTCATAAATCATAAATGCCAGAAATTATAAGAAATAACCGTATATATTACTGTTTGCACTTACGTTTCATTTGTTTAATTAATTTATGCCACTCCTTTTGGCTGCTCTTCGTTTATTTGCCAAAAAAATTACAATAATTACGCGGTGTAGCTTGAAAGCTGGTAATCATTCGGCGCTAACAAGGATATTCCGATCATGATTTATTACCGGCGAGATGTCTTGGTGGCGCCCTCCCATGGTTCCCTCTCGTGACGTCATTACCTTGCGAACAACCAGTTCGATGGTGTTTGTAATTAGCATGGTGGAAGCTCGAAATCATTGCGCTCTCAAAGCAAAACTGCCAACACCGTTAAAATTGAAGTTCTTACATTACTCTGATTTCCATGGATGAGAAATCGTTTGCTGACGTCATAGTAAGCATTCGGCCAATCGTGGAAGGCCGACCACAGCGACGCCATCGACCGCGCACGTCGCCAGTAGAAAAAGAAAAAAAAAAGTACAGTATTTCAGACATCAGCGATGGTTACTACCTTTCCAGCTAGTAACATCTGCGGTTATTGCCTATCGCTCGTTTGAGGTAATAAATAACTAGTAAAAAGGTAGGGACTGCTGGTTACTAACTTTTTAAAAGTTAGTTACTAGTTTGTTTGTCGGTGTAGAAGGACGAAGGCATGAGCACATTTTGAAGCAGGAGGCAGGAAGCGTATAATGATACGAGTATTTGTTAGGAAATAATATTGATGGTTTAATTCTAGAGGCAAGCAGTGAACTGCTTAGAAAACGTTAGTTCACAGGCCGTTTCGAATTCTTTAAGAACAAAATAAAATAAAGCAATTATATTCGAACGAAAAAAGAAATAGAGTGGAATCTGTCACAGCTAGATGATTATTTAACGCTTCTGAAATTGAATTGGTAACCATACTTGGGATCAACTTTCTGGGACGTTGCAGGTAAACCGACAGCCGAAGCGCACCGTTTCACTGCACAGACGGATATAATTCCATGAAAAATAAATTTGTGGGTGTAACTTGTCCAATCAAAACATATAAGAAGTTTCTTTTGTAGCTTCAATTTCACAAGGTTACCATAATATTAGTCTGAATATACCAAACTTATAGCGTTTCTTTTTTAGCTCCTTCAGGTTTTTTTGGTTTAAGTTCGCTACACGTTTTGTAGTTCCTTACAAAACAGACACGGCGTTTTTCTCGTGTGCGTTCGTCGGTATGGTCACATATGGTGTCTTCGGGCACCTTCCGTAAGCGTGCCTCCTTTTTCGCTTCGTAGGAATTTTGCGAACTTTGCAACCAAAAGTTCTCAAAACGAACCACGCAGGGGGTGGACAACGTGTTCGCACAATTGCATGAGACAGAGGGAAACGGGACTCTCCACTGCTTTCGTATACCGGTTGGTTAGCGAGATTGCCGGCGTAAACTGGCAAAAATGGGGATTGAGCCTCCACGGGTTCGACAGCGCGAGCTTTCGCTATGCATGTTCCGAGTAGTGGTGTGCCAGGGCCAACGGTAACTGAACGCGATCCAAATGCGGTTTGACTTTGTGTCGTTGCGTGTGCGTGCTCCTGTTAACGTATATCGCGCCCGCGCTTTGATTTTTGAGCACCAGGAGAGTTTATGTGTCAATGACCTAAAAACTGCAGCGCCGATTAAATTCATTACATTTAATCGCCGCCGCATATCCGCATCGATCGCGAGACAACTAGAGTTTGACGAGATCGATCACGGTGTCAATTACCTCGTAAGCCGATCCGAGTACTAAGTCAAGGCGTTGGTTTGTGTGTAGAAACGGGTGAAACGTTGGAAGCGACACACGGATATGCCTGCATACTCGGCGATTGCGGTTCGCCGCCCCTAACCGCTTTCCTAATACAAGGGAAGGAACTGTAGCAAATGCGTGTCCGTCACGCCAAAACCCAAACCGAAAACGAAACCAAAAGAGTCCGGAACGTGACGTCACATCGTCAGCGTGTCAGGCGCCGTAAATTAGCATGCCGGGTGACGTCATGGTGTTTAGTTAAGTGCGTACATTTCTCCGCCAGATTCGTCTGGAAAATACATGCACTAAATTGTCTGGTCTGTGGATAGCACAGTCCGCAGCGCCTCGGCTGCCATCGCAGTTTGTTTGGAGGACTTTGCTAGAAACCGGGATTTCCCTTTTCTGAGAGTCTTAACCGTTCTGTTGTTGACCGCAGGGGACTCGGGAGGGGTGGTTGCGCGACCTGCCCAGAACGGTCGTGCGGGGAGACCGGGGCCGTCCAGAACCTCTCGCGGGGATCCCATGGTGGACGTGGCCGCCACGTCCGAGCGTGTCAAGACTGCCCTGGCCAAGTTGGTGGACGGAGGTACGGCACCGGCAAAATAGCTGTTCGCCTTATTTGTGACGCAGTTGGAAACGGGCCTTAGCTCAGACAGTAGTTGGTTTCTTACGTCGTGAATAGGGGCAGCTCACCCCCCCCCTCCCCCCCCCCCCCCCCTCTCCGAAACAAAATCCTGGCTACGTGCCTGGTTGAGTGTCGGCTTCGGGAACACCTGAAAAACGCCTTCTTGCCGCGTTATTAACGAACAGTCCCTTCACAGAATGTCCAAACACCTCTTCCCTGCAGGTTTTCAAGAAAGCCTGGAATGGCTGTTGTCTTCCTTGGAGGACGCTGTTGAGGACTGGGATTCTGAAGGTAAATGACGTCTTGCGGCCTTTTATCTTTCGTGTAGGTTTCAAATAACCATTCTAAGCTCGATTCTTCTGAGCTACATGTTTGTCAGGAACTGTTCTGGTTCCAGTCTCAATAACGAATGTACAGATCCGCCATGGTAGCAAGTCGTCACGTGGCGGGCAACGATCTCGTAGTGATATCTTTCTGAACACGTTAACTATTTAACTTCTTTTCTAGTGAATAATTATTTTTCGGAAGTATGACGTACGGGATTAAGGTGTGACTTGCTTTCCAGTGAAAGTGGAATCAGACACTGGACGGCGAATGCCATGCCACAAGAAAGCAAATGAATAAATCTAATACAAGGGGCACCTAATCGATTAACCTACCAATATATCGAATAATGCTTTAATGATGATTAACGGTTTTAATCGGTTAATTTTTGACTAACAAGAAAGCATGTAAAAATTCTACGCTTTCACCTTGCAGATCTGGACGAGTATACCTGTATGAAGGTCAACTCGAGGTGAAATTTTGACCTAAAGTAAACTGGAGGCGCGGGATTTGTAACTCCGAACGAGTGTAGGTTATGTACATGACCCGGCCACTTCAACGCCGTGCGAGTGTCCGTTTAGCGCAGCAGCGACTGCTGTGAGCGTTAGAGGGAGTTCGCTATTGCCGGAGAGGTATCAGGGAACCTCTTTGGTTCTGCTGGTAAAGTAATATAATTTGTGGGCGTGAGTGTCTCTTCACTGTTCTGAACTACATTTGACGGTTGATTTAAAATCAGATATAGCACATTCGCAATTTCCGACATATTCAACAGAGGCAAAACAATTTAATTTTTACTCTTTTAAACTATTGTGCATGGTAATAAACGAAACAGATTAATCGCGTTTAGATGTTAATTCGACGCCCAGCCGTACCCAAAACGAAAACTAAGAGGAAACCATACTACACTGTGCTCGGTAAAGAGAACATGAATAAGCTCCACCGTACAACGCCGTTGCTATATGCAAACTGTGCTACAGAGTGGGCAGGGTGGCCATTCGCGCAGTCGAATCGCATGGTACTTAATGCGAATGATGAAGTCGGTGGCGTCGTTTAACATGAACGTTGCGTGGGCGTATGTTTTGAGCGTGTGATAAGCCGTTCGTATAGTACGTGCCTCTTACGCGTTCCGCGCCCATGTCCCGCTTCCCGTTCTCTTGGCCCTTTAGACGCGACGTCGACGCCACTGGTGCCCCTGGCGGAAGCGCACCACTCTTCGATGGAGGACGGAGAGTTCTGCAGCCTGCTACGCTCTATCGGAGTGACACCGCCCGTCGACGAGCAGGTGCGTAGCCTCCCCACGCCGCAGTCGAAGTCTGCCTGGTTGAAGCTCTTACCTACGAATGGACACTGCATGCAATCGTTTCCCGTGCCGAGTATCCCAACGCAGATGGCAGTGAAAATGACTACCGCTTCAGAGTAACATCGTTTCAGTCACCTTGCTTAAAATCATTCCTGGCCAGTTTTCTGAAGCCAACTACAGAGATAAGTCGATTAAGTGTCAGCTCCCAAGATCCCTGAAATATTTTGTGCCACTCTGTATTTGCTTGCATTGAACTACTGGTTACGATTTATTAGAAAATGGCTGTATATACCAATCATTTGTTTTGTTATATTAATAAAGTGTAGCTTTCGCTATTGCTGTAGGAGAGGAGGGGAGCTTTGTCAAGCAGTTTTTGTGCTGCTTTTTGCCTTCTTCCCTGTCTTCTTGTACCAAGGGAAACAAGTTAACGTAAAACTTGCCTAAAATCGCAGAAAGCGCGCTTTTGTAAAGTTCGTTACGTCGCATTTTTGAATCATAGCTATCCCCCCTCCCATCCACCAGACATTATGGAGTAACGATATTCTAAACACAGCACATTTTATAAACAAGAACTTCTCTTTAGACTCCTCATAGAGCTCCTTTACTAAAGGTTCAGGATACGACTTTCGTTGACTCCATAGCTGCGATTGGAAAATAGCAATTGAGCAAAAGTATTAAACAAAAAATGTTGCGAGGTATTACTGACATTGAACGAGCGGCGTTGCATTACGAGAGGCGACCGGTGGCATGAGGATTTTGTTGTTTGTTGCCCCAAAATGTGCAACCGACTGGCAGGGGGTGGGCTCGCACAGAGCATCGCCGCGCCAACTGGGTCATTCTAGAGACCCATTTGCTGTCCGAGGTATCGGTTTTTCGCGTGCACAGCGACGAAGTATATAGACGCTCGGGTTGTACAGGCTTTGTCTTTTATAGCTGGTATTGGCTGCCACGTCGCTTCTCCTGCGTTCCCAAGGCATTGTACTTGCGGCTCCGAGTGTCGCTGCGCCCTTATCCTTATGCTTTGTCTGAAGAACATTCTCAACAAGCCACTGTGTCGCGCGGACGCTGTGAAACGGCTCTCGGGCCGGTGCCTGGATGCGCAGGAGGTGTACTGGCGCATCCCCGCCCACATGACGGACACGATGCTCCAGTCCCGTATCGAGCTGATTCGGAAGGCCCTCCAAGGCGACTTCGCCGCTTCGCTGCTCGTGCCGTCGCCCCCCCAGCCCGCGGAGCAGACGTCCGCCAAGAGGAACACCAAGCGGATGGAGGCCATGCACGAGCTCCTGGCCAGGAAGGCCCTCAACCAGAACCACGAGGGGTGAGTTCCGTGATAACCCTGCGTTTCTTGTCCTCACGGATCGCCATCGCGGGTACGCCGCGCCGTGGTTGGAAAACGTTTGTTTCCGTCGTCGCTTTGCGATTGCCGCAAATCACTCCTTCGAATAGACCTTTCACTAAATTGCCCAAGCACCGAGGAGAATGCTCGGAACTATATGAATACGCGCACGCTTTCCCTGTAGAAAAGATTCGAAGTCACATAATCAAACTAAGGCGTCGAGGAACGCACGTGCGAAGTTCCATTTGTTTTAGATTTTTGCTTTTGAACAATTACTGCAGCAGACGCCAGCGCGCATATCTACGTTCCCGGAATTTTCTTGGAGACTAGAAATTCGACAAAAGATATATTTCCAACTCCAACAAAAGTGCACTTAATTTTTTTTTTTTTTTTTAACATTCCGGAGGCCAGGCCTCGGCACTTTTTGCTGCACGCTTGGATAGACGTTAGCTCCTCGCTTCTCTCATTCTGTTCTTTGCCGTTGGGTGGCGCCGCCTCCATCAAACTTGCAAATACACTTTTTTTTTTTATTATTATTTCAGCGTGGCTTTTTGCTTTCGAATTCAGCCTATTGATGCGCCGGGACCGAACCTTTTTTTTTTTTTTTTCGGTTCGTGTGGTTCCCCGGCGTTGTGAGAAATCCCACTTGTTGTTTCAGTGTTGTGTCGGCCTATTGCGAAAGAAAGCTCGTGAGGAGGAGCAGGGAAGGGTATACCTCTCCTCCTCACCTCCTCATCCTCCCTGATACTCCTCCCCCTCCTCTTCCTCGACCCCCTCCTCCCTTCCTCCTGCCCCTCCTCCTCCCCTCATCCCTCAAGCCACTTCCCTCCTCCCCTCCCGTCCTCTCCTTCTCCTCATTCCTCCTCCTTCCCCTCCCTCCTCATCCCTCCCCCTCCTCTCATCCTCGTCCTCCTCTCCCTCCTCTTCCCCGCGCGGTGCATTATGGGACATATCCATAATGCACCGCGCGGCTACGGCGACGGCGACGCCGCTCAAGCCGGAAACAGGCGCCTAAGAGTTGCGCTCTAAAAAAATTAGAACAACTCCTCGTATGAGTGAAGTTTAACATAGAAATATGCTAAAAGTTGTAAATTGTGTGCAAGTCGTCACTAAAGGTACATTAATTCTTGCACCGCCCTACGCCTTCCTGTTTACTCATTTGACACCACGTATCGTTTTTACTAAACAGTCTCCCCCCAGATATGTCGGACTGTTAAAGAAAGCCATACGGGGAAAGAGGGCGTGGTCGAGCTTATTTAATCTGAAATTATTTATGCATGTGTAAAGCTACTATCGCTTTACACATGCATAAAAGATCGCTAGATGGTCATTGTTAGAAACCCGTTGTCAGGAGGCACTACTCGTCACATGCTTAGTGGCTCGAAAGTTCGAAGCTATGTCTTTTTGGCCTAAATAACTGTGCCAATGGTCAAAATAAATAAACATTACAATAAATGTGGGGATGAAAAGCTGCAGAAAAAAGAAAAGCTATCAAGAAGCCGCCGGAAGTGTTGTATTCTTGCATATTCAGAGGCCCAGAACTTCGAAATAAGTTTTTTCTACGAAAATGCGTATAAGCTGAAAGAAACACGTCCCAAAGACGTAAAATGAGAATATGAAAAAAGTTAAAAATGGATTTTTTTATGACGTGCTGAACTTTAAAATATTCTTCCCCCATGAGTTAATTTTAATTTATTCCTCAACGTGAAAAAACAATAAATGCATTATTTTGTATTCAACAGATGGCAATGGTATGTACTGTCTGTGGTGTTAATTTAAATGCGATACCTCAAACAATTTAGACAAAACAAATTACCAAGTTTAGGGCATAATCGCTCGTAGATACATGTTTTGACATTTCTTTGAAACTCGTCTTGAACAACAATAATCATATCTTAAGACGACACTTACTTAGGCTATACATAGATCATTCTTAAAAAAGTTTAACATCTCTACCATAAATAGCTTCGTCTATAGCGCGCTTCAAATATGGCACAAGCGACAATTGTCAAAAACTCCTCGTCCTTCCTTGTTCCTTCGGGAATTGTCTTTTCAAAACTATGCGTGCCGGACCATTAAAATAAACGGCATTGTCTTTCGCAAGGAATGCGGCACCGCAAGTAAAAATGCGAAAAAAAACAAAAAAAAAAACGAATGTACCTCACTGCTTGAAATCAAATGAAACCGCCCGCCGGTCTTTTGAAGTTCGACGAGCTTCGAACTTTTACCCTAGGAAGGTCGAAGTTCGTTGAACTTTTGACCTCTCAGGATTCGAAAGTTCGAGAAATATCGATTTTCTTAACGTAGAAAGTTCGAAAAGCTTCGAACTTTTTAGTGCAAAATGTTCGAAAGGTCGAAAACCATCGAAGTGTTTAGTCTATCATGGTCGAAAGTTCGACCAGCATCGAATTTTGCAGCGTAATAAGTTCGAACGTTCCAAAATGATCGACTTTTTTAGCGTATTAAGTTCGAAGGTTCGAAAAAATTACATTCCTGAACGTGCAAAGGTCGATATTTCGAAAATCGTCGCACTTCTTAGTTTAACGTTTCGAAAATTCGACTTCCGTCGAATTTCTCCCTTTGGAAAGATCAAAATTTGAAATCTTTCGAACCTCTCGACCGCTTGATTCGATCATCGAACCTTCGGTTCGAAAAAAGTTCGCGGCATCCCTAGAGACTTCGTTGTACTGTCCGTTTTTTTTTATTTTTCCTTCGTCTCAGGGTTATTATGGATCCCTAGTTCTAGCATCTCGTATACAAGGGGCTTTTTGCTCACTATTGCTGAGACCTGCGCTCACCCGTTGATGTAAGCATGCATAAATAAGAGAGAGAGAGAGAGAGAAAGAGTTTTAGATTAGGGTCCCAAACACTTTCGGTCTTTCGAGCAGCTTGGTGCGTCGCAGTACGCGTGGGCACAACTTCGTCATATACGGATTGCGACGGCCCAAGCTGCTCGGGGCACCCAAAGCGTCGCTTTTTAACTCTTTTTTTTTTTTTTTTTTCGGAAAACGCAGTCCGCTGATTAAATTTTGTAAACACATCCCCTGGCTGCTTTCGGTTCATCGGTGTTGTTTAACAGCAAGAAAAACGGTGGCGGGGAACTGCGAGTTTAGTTTGTTAAGAGTTTAATAAAGTTTCTACATATTTGCGATTGCATATAGCTTCCTTTACGGCAGATACCTGGCTTATCTGCACATGGCTATCGAACCTGGGATACACATTCAGTGCTGTCCTTCCGTCATTGGCAGTGTTGGATTGACAAGGACGCTGAGATTTGGTACTAGTTGATCGATGATCGTAGCTTCGCTCGAATTCAAGCAATGAACTATTTTCCTAATTAATTTAGTTTTGTCCATTCGTTATTGTCATTCGATTCACCCAGAGGGCTTTCGGCGAAGTTGTCGGGGTTGTTTGAGTATTCAGCAGATCCAACATCGGGTGGCAGAGGTGCATTCGACTGGCTCGCAGCTGCTTGCAGGAGTCACAGCATCCATGTATATCTTGCCCAGAAGGTGCCTTCGTCCCACTATTCTCCCTAAACTTAAGCGCTTGGCTGGCTGATTTTGTGTGGTGCGTATTTTCGGCACCGATTTGAAGTCCAGGGGGCGCGGCCAGTGAAGTCACAGACGTCCAGATTTCATTGGTGTTCTTTGATGTAAACAAGTTTTATTTTGGATGCCGCCGACTGTATTTTGAAACTTCAGTCGGTCAGCGAGTGCGTGCGCGTGGTCGGGTGCTCGGCGGCTCGGTGTACCCGTTAGTGTGTGTCGACGTGCCGCCTGTGCTCGTCGCGCAGCCAGAAACAGTGTTTACCAATTTCGTTCGCCGGATGCCGTCGGTCACTCCTGTTGCAAAAGAAGATTGGTAGTGACTACAGTACCGTCCGACGGCACTTTTGCAGAGCGTTCAAGTGCCGTCCGACGGTACTCCACCGACCCGAAAGTCTCCTGTAACACGAATTGTCAAAACGAGGTTTTCGAAGTTGTAGCGTAGCTTAGCGGTTAAGATGTCTGCCTGATAGGCAAGCGGTCGTATGTTCCATCCGCTGTGGAGGCTTACTTTTCTTTTTTTTTTTTTTTTCGAACATTTTGTTTTGTTGGGGTTTTGTTTGCGCGAGGGCGCGTGGAAATGGTCAACGAGATCAAGCTCCATGTTCGCGCCAGAAGCTTTTACAGTGTTGCACACTAAGTATAAAACAGAGTATATGCAAGGGTGATAATCCGTCGTATTACACACAAGTACAGTTCCAAAGAAATGCGTACAAAATTACTCCGGCTGGGCTCTGTCGCCTCCCGTACACGTAATCTTCATTTGCAACAGGAGTGACGGACGGCACCGGGCGAAGTTTTAAAATGGAGAACGCTTATAGTTTGATAGAGGAGGTCGTGGTTTGATGATCCTGAGAACGCGACGAGTGCATGCGACAACCTCGACAACACGCACCAGCACGGGCACCGCCGACCACCCGGCCACACACAAGCCAAGCGACCGACACTTCAAAATGCAGTCAGCGGCATCCAAAGAAAACGTGTTGTTCACGTCAAAATAACTAAGACCTCAAAATAAAAGCTGTTATTTTGACGTCCGTGACGTCATTGGCCCATACCTCGGCAAACCTCACTCATGAGGGCCCTCACTCACCCTCATCCTCACAGGTGAGGTGAGGGTGAGTGAGTTTCTGAACCAGGAAAATTCATGAGTGTGAGGGTGAGTGAGGGCCGTGAGGGCTGTGAGGGTGAGTGAGGGCCGTGAGGGCTGTGAGGGCTGTGAGGGCCGTGAGGGCGGTGAGTGGCGTGAGGGCTACGAGTGCGCGAGGGCCGTGAGGGCGGTGAGGGCGGTGAGGGCGGTGAGGGCCGTGAGGGCGGTGAGGGCAGTGAGGGCGGTGAGGGCCGTGAGGGCTGTGAGGGCGGTGAGGGCCGTGAGGGCCGTGAGGGCCGTGAGGGCGGTGAGGGCCGTGAGGGCCGTGAGGGCCGTGAGGGCGG